TGACAGAATTAGGAGGGATAATATATAATGTGACACTAGGACCATTGGATTGTACACTGCAGAGGGTGACTTAACTGTGGATTTAAAGCAGTGACTTGCTTTAGACAGAGCAGTTTATGCTTCATCTCTTCCCACTCACCTCCAGGACCCCACCTACTCCCACCAGTATCCTCCCTTGGCCTCCGTGTGGTGTTAATTTTATAGCATAACTAGTCAGTTACATCTGGGAAGTATAGGCTGTGTTCTGAGGGAAGGTTTGGGGTTATAGGAGAGCAGTATCTGTTCAGTTTCAACTCTTACTCTTTGCCTTAAGTGCCAGCCTTTGTTTTTGAAATTCCTATCACTCATCATTTCACGATGACAGAGAAGTGGGGATTTCCTGTCAGTGGAGAGTCCCGTGTCTGTTTCGCCGGCTTGTTTTCTTCTTTTCCTCAGTATTTGATATCTTTACTACCTGCTGTGCTCTGGATCAGTCAGTCTCACTCACATTGCTTTATCCACTGACATATACTCCATTCTTGCTCTCTTCCAGTTTTCATCTTCTATTTTTTTCTCATTTTCCTTATAGGTCTGTATCTTTTCAATTTACTTTTACTTTAGATAATTTAAGGAGACAGTAAAATAAATGTATTATCAGACTTCAAACTGCTTCAGTCACTGCAGATTCTTCTATACAGAACATAACAGCTTTGAAAACTGAAATCAGACAATGGACTCAATATGTCCTAACACTTAAGCCTATTTCTGATTTCAACTTAACATGTATGATTTAGCAAACAAGAATTAGGAATTTTCCAAATATATCCCTTCTTTAGTTCATCCACTGTCCTTCTCTGACAGATTACAGTGTTTTGCTCAGTGTTATTCCAGTTACTTGTTTACATATGGAGCCACTCAGGTATAAAGGACAAGTTACTGAGATTGTATTTGTTTAGCTAATTGAAATACAAAAGATTTGAAATAAGCCTTTAACATGTAGAGCATGCATAAGCTTCATAGAATTGGATCACAATGAGTCAGTCTTGAGGATACCTGCCATTTTCTGCAGAGTTCCCAAAGCTTTCCTAGATTTCAGAAGGGGAGTGTGTTACTCATAAAAAGCCAAACCCGGAGTTACCTCATCCTTATTTTTAAGTACTAGATTTTAGAAAACACTTGTTTTTATTATCTATCTTCAGCCATTTGAATTATTCTTTAAAGGTAGAATGAAAAAAGTAGTGTATAATGAAATAAATATATGATGAAATAAATATAATGAAATAAATTCATGTAAAAGCTAGAGACTTCTCAGGTGATGTAAGAGAAATGAACTAGTTCGTATTGGACATCTTCCAGGTGGTGTTGGTCCTACTGTTTGAAGGTGGGGGGTGGGGGAGAGTCTTTTTCCTAGTGACATTTTGTTAAATTGAATTCTGAAGATTCATTAAAACCCCAAGAAACAACAGAAGAGCTGTCCTCAATAAATGGTTCACAATTTAAGCAATCCTTTCTGAAATTCAATATCCTATCTTAATCTCAGATACACCATTTAGAAAAATGACTTTGGATATAATATCTTAGTGATATTTGTACCATGCTGTTTTCAAGCTAATCTATTTTTTTCTTTATGTATGTTAAAATGTTTTTTATTCTTCAATAGGGAAGTTTGGTTGGCTTGGTGGACTATCCAGATGATGAAGAGGAAGATGAGGAAGAAGAATCATCCCCCAGGAAAAGACCTCGCCTTGGCTCATAGAACACTTGAACTCCCAACACCACGGTCTTACTAAAATGCTGCAGCTGCTCACTGAGCTCAGTCTGAATGGGAAAGCTTGCTTATGGAAATGAACACACGGAGTAACAGAGACTCTTGATTGCCAGGTAGGAAAGTGTAGTTATGTAAGAACCAGGCTTCCCAAGAGCTTAATTCCTAGTAATTAAAGGGTTTGCCTTTTGAGCTGTCCAAAAAACAAGAATGATAATTAGAACCTAGGTGAAAGCTTCCCAGCAAGGAAAGTCTCAGGTTTAGGGGAAGAAGGGTTGATTTAATGCAGGGTTGTTCCCAGGGTCCAACCTAGAGAAAATTGTGAGACTTCAGTACCCAATAACATTGCTTGTATAATGGTGCTGGCCATTTTGTTCTATCAGTTGCCTCTTTTAAAAGACATTTTTATGTAAAACAAATTGAACTGTCATCACAGAAATGAAGTTATGGTGTTGGGACCATTTCTTTAAAGATTTTTACAGAAGTTAGCCTTTGGTATTTGACAGGACATATACCCGAGGTAACAGCACATACCAATTTCTCTACACCGAGAACTTGTAATACACTGAAAAGTAAAAAAGAAAGAAAGCTGGGTTCCAAGTGGATAGTGTTCTTATAGAACTTTAAAGTCAGCATTTTTAGAATCGACTGCAGCCACGAAATGCAACATCAATGTTCTGAAATGGTCCTCTTCACCAACTTGGGAGTAGCTGGAACAGGGGGGTTCCAGTATAAGTCTCTTTCTGCTTTCTCAGTAAAGTTAAGTCTGGGTCTTCTAAGAGCTGCTGGTAAATATGTAAAGACCAACAAAGGAATGGTGCTGAGTGAAGTGGCGCTTTCTGTCTGTCTACAAGTCACTGGAGCCTAGAGGTTACTAAGTGTCAGAGTCACATGCAGCCGAGGGAGCTTTTCCACAGACGAGGGGTAATGTGAAAGCTGCTTTTTTAAGAGATTTAAAAAGCACATTCCATGTACGTAAATGAACTTAAAATAACTGAGGCAAGCTATTAAGAGCTTTTATTTTTAGAACAACAAGTTAATTGTAAATATTTTAATGTTAGATTGCTCATCTATGATCTAAGATCATTGCTGAGATGAGAAAAATGACCTCAAACTACAATTTAATGCATTGAGAAAAAAAAAAATCTAAAAATAGTAATTCCAGCTCCAGTCTTTAGATCAGCTCTATAATATGTTATGGGTCCATTTTTCCTGGAATAGCTTAAAAGCAGTTTCTCGTGTTGGAGATTTTGGAGTTAATTTTAATTTTGGCTATTTGGGAAAGATGGGCTGTCTGTAGATATGAAGTATAGTTTTTCCATAAAACAGATGTTTATTTTGTATTAAAAATACCACTGTACTTGTTTTACACCATTTGTATACATGTGGTGATATTACTGCTAAACTGTAAAATTCAGGAATTAAAATGTGACCCTACAATTCCATGATTGAGGCTTCTGTTTGTTTTGTTGTAAAATATGTGAATTATTTTTGAGATTGTCCAGTTTACATTGTCTTTTAAAGGCTTATAAAATCCATAAAGATTTGTTATAAGCCAGTAGGTCAGAAAGTCTTAAATGCAAGACTCAACCATATTTTAAATATCCCTTACAAGAGGTAAGCCTTGAGCAAACCTAACAGCATAAAGCCATTCTCACCTCTAAACAAAGGTGCACGTACAACAAGCCTTCATCTTATATCACAAGTAAACTGGGTACCTTCACCCAACATCAACAAGTTATTGTATGAGTAGGCATTCTTTCAAGCAAATTTTATGAAGCCTCTACCATCTTAGTGCTTAGAATCTAAGCAGCCCTGACCTATAAACTGTTCTGTTAACTGTTTTGTTATATAACTAAAGTACTGTACCATATAAAGACTTCCTTTAATTTTTCCTTTCTGAGGAACTTCAAATTTTTAAGACATTATTATAGGAAGTGTTTCTTACAATGGAAATATGAATGTTTTCTTAAAGTCCAAGGGTAACAGTTGTGTAATGCATATGCTCACCCACATGATGAAAGGATCCTTGGAAGGCACAACTAGGAAGATTCCACAGTAGCTGCTGTCCTGAGTGACGACCCTCATGAAGGCTGGGGTGCTTGCAGCATTATCTCCACTCAGCTAGTTCAAGCCAGAGCACACATTTGTATGCCTTAGGTCCTAAAAATATCTGTAAACATGTACCTAATAAAAAAACTATTTTTAATAAAAAGTTATGTGAAACAGATTCACGTGTTTTAATCCTGGTTTGTCTGCAGGTGGAAGGTTGGAACTTAAAGTACAATCTTATATTCAAACGATAAGATGAATTTTTAGAAAAATCCCAGTTGAGGCCAGCAAGATCACTAAGTGGGTAAAGGAGCTTGCTGCTAAGCCTGATTTGATTTTTTTTTAATAAAGACCAGCACTCTATGGTAGGTAGCATTTTCTTCAGCAGGTTCACAGTATCCTGCTGTCCTTATAACAACTTTTGTAGAAAAGGTAATCATTTCCTACATTTCTCACATTTATTTTCCAAGTGTCCTGCTTCAAATATAAAACTTACCACGTCCAAGATACCACCTTTGGATTGTTTCATACCTGGTAAACCCAAAATTACACTAGTACAGCTGTTTGCCTTGCAACCACACCTTTAAAAATGAAAGTAAGTTTCTGCATTGCCTATAAGGCTCTACATTACCCAAACCCACTATCACTTTTCCTGTGCTAATCCTCCTAGTCACATGTTTAGTTCAACATGTGCTTCCTAAACTACTGTATACCCCTCTTCTCCATGCAGCAGCCTGCCATGTTACCACTGCACTTTCCCCTTCTAACACACACAGCTCTTTGGGTCACCAGTAGCCTCATGAAAGCAGGGACCCTGTCAGTATCGTTGACTGCTCTACCCCTAGTGTGTATCATGCTTAGCACAGTGTCTATATAAGAATGAATGAAAACATGCACTATCAACTAATTTCTTTCTGTAGCCCCTTTTGAAGAGAAAACATCCAAAATTTTGTTTTATTTTTAAATTTATTTATTTTTAGTTATTTGAGACAGACTCGTGTAACCTAGGCTGGCCCCCAATTTGCTCTGACACTGGAGAGGACACAGCATCCTGGGTGCTAGGATTATAGGCATGCACCACCATACCTGGGTTTCTGCAGATGTTTGTTAAATTGCTTTCCCTTTTGCCCTTTACCTGTTTAAAGTAATAGTAGTCAGTTCAAAGTTGCTTTTAGAAAAGCCAGTATTTGCTTGAAACTAATAGTCGTTGTTTAAGGATTAAATAATTTATTTTTAAGAAAATTTGGGCTTCTGTTTTGCTAGTTTTCATATTACTTATTAATAACTTCTTCTTTAAGTTTCTCTGCAAGCAATCGCCTCTTTAGTAATGTTTGTTTCTCCTCTGCTGTCATTTCTGGCTTCTCTGTCATTTCCTTAAAGACAAAAAAAAAATTGCTACAATTAGTTTCATATGTCTAAAATCCTCAACATACTTCAAAACAATAAAGATTAAGGACATTTGCAGTAACTAAGTCAATTGTCAAGTTATACTTCAAGTTTCTTGAATCTTCTTGGAGAAACATTGGGAAGGTGATGGGTGGGCTATGGACAGACCATCGCACAAACATTTAATATGGCTGAAGTAAGACACACATACTGACCCTAAGGAACTCAGCAAGGGAAGTCAATAAAAATGTATAATGAAATGATTCTTTCTACCTCACAAAATTCTCATCTAAACTCCCCTGAGAGAGGACTTAGTTGTTAGACTAGCTCATGGTTAATTTGAGTACATCAACCAAACAAAATTCATTGGAGGCTTTCTTGCACAAACAAGAACTTCTTCCCATGGTCCTCGCAGTTGATACACCAAAACTAGCCAGCCATACCTCTGCCTCCCTGGTAGGCTTTCCTTTTTGCTCAGTATTCTGGATCTGCTTTGCCCTCATATCCTTTCTCATGGACATCAGCTTGTCTCTCTTCTGCTTGAGATAATGCTCTCGTTGACGTAACTCTTCTGTTCCAAGTGCTGACAAATTCTGGTTCAGATAAGAAAAGGGATTGTCTATATTCATTCACACAACACATGCCAAAGACATCCTGGGAATCAGTTCTAGTTCCAAGATGATAACAAAGTGTATGACCGCATGGTTCCAAGTGCCTTGCTCATGGTAAATAGCTGTCACTTACTGCTATTGGTCCTTCCATGCTTGCATGCTCTAAGCCAGGTATCTTCAGACCTTTCTGTGTGAGGGAGGAAGTTTCAGGCAACAACTCCATCTTTCTTGCCAAGGGTTGTACTGACTGATTAGCAAAATGCACTTTAACTTCTAGTGGTAAACAATGAGACCAATTAAGATATTATAGCATAATTCTTACAATTAAGATATAAGATCCACACTGTTATGCAGTACATAGGCACTCCATTCATAATTCAAACAGCACACTGATCCTTTACAAACATCTTTGGTTTCAAAAACTTGCTTCCAAGTACGTGACTGTACACTTCAAGCACAACTTTACAACAGATCTTCTTTTACAGTAGGTGTCAACAGCAATGGCTTGGTTGTGATAACATACTAAAAGTAACTACCAATGCACTAAGAAAATGTAAACACTTCTAAAGCAAGCAGAAACTTGAAAGCATTTGTAACGTAAGCATTCCATACTGTGAGATCTGTGGCAAGAGGTATGACTAACAGTTGCATTGCTTCTGTGGTCTATTTTCTCTTAGAAAATTAGGTGATTAAAGAGGACTGTCAAGAGGACACAGAAAGTTAAGTCTCTGACCACTCAGGATCTATAGGAGGAAAAGATAGAACCACCTCCTGCAACTTGCTCTCTGCTCACATACACAGAGGACAGTGGCACATATACACAGAGCTTTCTCATATACACATACACAGCACGCTTTCTCACATACAATCACACAAATCATTTTTAAGGGCCTGGGGCTTAGGAGATGGTTCAGTGAGAAAAGTTCTTGCTATGAGCCATGAAAACCCTATGTGATCCACCACACATTTAAAAAGCTAAGCCTGGCTGAGGAGATCACCATGGAGATTTACAAATTGATCTCTCGGGAGCTTGCTTGCCTGCCATCCGTGCCAGTCTGTGACCACTAGGTTGAATGAGAGACACTGCCTCAAACAAAGTGAGGGGGCAACAGAGGAAGACACTTGACCTCAACTTCTGACTTATACACATGCAGGCATGAATGAGCACTCACATGTGTGCACACAGACATACATAAGCCACACATACACACCAAAAAATGTAAAACCATTTCAGTACATGGTCTGCAAAAGGAAACAGTGAGACATGGAAAGACTTAAAATACAAATAAGTAAAATCATGAGGGAAGACCTCAAAGGATTACTAATCCTGCCAGGTGTATAAAACCAGAAAGGAAAGGTGACAAGGAGCACTGCTGCACACACAGAGCAGGTTGGCCGCACTGCAGGAAGACTGGAGAGAACCATTGCAGGCAGAGGGCCAAGAACCTAATGAGTTTAAATAATGTTGCTAATATTCAGATTAAGTTAAAATGGCCATTCTTAGTAGAGATTATTTTACTATAAGTAGTCATGGAACCACAGAACTGGAGAATGTGCACGTAAGCATGTCAACTCATGCACTTACACACCCAGGCTCTGAATGTGTCAGATGTGGACATACATACTCTCAAACAGAAGAGAGATGTATGTGGAGCCAAAACGCCTTTAGTTGTCCTGGTCTTTAAAGAATGAATCAGAAAGCCTAATGAAATAACCCCTCTCTGGCAACTCATCAGAGAACAAATCTATTCATTTTAGTAAGAACCAAGGGAAGACATAAACAAAAAGGCAAAAGAAATGCAAGCCAAACACCTTGATTCTTTTAAAATTAGGACTTCTCACTAAGGTGCCATCACTTTATATGAAGTGATCCACAGAACATCAGATACCCAGTTTTACAAAGTACTGAAAAATTAAGAAAAATTACTTTTGAAAGTATTTGCCATTTATTTTGCTATTGATGTATAAACTGTATTTTATGTAGTCTGTGACGAAATTTTGTCTTTTCTTGTTTTTATTTATTTGTAACCTTGCCTGGCCTGGAACTCACTATGTAGACCCCATTGGCCTCAAAGACTACCCTCCCTCTGCCTGGTGAGTGCAGGGATTAGACTATACCACCCCATCTGGTTGCTTTATTTTTCAGGCACAGTTATCACAGAACCTAGACTAGTCATAAACTCTCCATGTGACCCAGGATGGCTTTGCCTCCACATGTGTTACCATGCTCACTTGAAATTTTCATATATGATTCAGATGAACTCATTTCTATTTACAAACTAGAACATGAGAAAAAATGATCAGATATAATAAAAGTACAGAAAGGAACTTTATATTATATCTGTTAAGCCTGTTCCATATTCCTGGCAAGTTTAAATTAAGATTACAGTTCCTTCAAAACCAATGAGTACTGTAAGAAAACTGAGAACACGGGGAAACTTTCACAAATGTCTACAATTTAAAAAGCCAGGGGTGGTAGCCGGTACGTTTAATCCCAGTACCACACCAGGCTAAGGCAGGTGGATCTGAGTTCAAGGCTAGCCAGTATAGAAGAAAATAGTATTTAGGGTCAGAAGTCATAACTTCACCACTTAAGCGCTCAGAAATCTTGTAAAGTCACATTCTTGAATTTCTAATTTAGGAAAAAAAAAAAGTAAGGAGCATGACATTTACCTCACATTCGTTATCTTTTCAGTTGAGAAAACTAGAGTAATTTTTAGTATTATCCCACCAAGTTGAGCATCCAGCACAAAATATGTTATTATATGCTGTTGACATTGTACAAAAGCTGGTGGCTCCCTCAAAGAGAACTGCTTGTTACTCTAGATTCCAGGCTTCAAATCACTTAGAAATCTGGAAATGACATTTACTTCAGGCTGTGTATTTCCAACTTACAAACAAACTAAGCTTAGAAAGAACTTTAAGTACAAACAATACATTCTGGAGCACAGCATTCTCAGGGTATAGGTGTTAGCGTGCAGTACACCTCAAGTTTACCTGAGGGTGGCTGTACAAAGTGTTCACCATCCCCTTGGGAATTACTCAGTTTTGCAGCTTCGCTAGTGTATCCTGGCAGTTCTTCCATTTTAGCTTCTGATGACTTCAGGATTCCATAACACAATTTAAGAAGGAAGAAAAAATTAATGTTGACCAATTCAGTAGTTAAAGGATCCAAAGATGTTATTTAAAACATTACTATCACTGAACTAGATAATGAACAAGAGAGTCTATTTTCCCATTTTAAAGATGTTAACATTTTATAGCTCCTACTTATTTAATTTTTTTAGATTTATTTTTATGTGTTTTTTCCTACATGTGTGTATATATATATATAGTACATGTGTGTCTAGTGCCCACAGAGATGAGAAGAGGGTATTAAACTCCCTGGAACTGAAAATGCAGATGGTTGTGAGGCACTGTGTGGGTGTTACAAATTGAACCTGGGTCCTCTGGAAGAACAACAAGTACTCTTAACTGCTGAAGCATCTCTCCACCCCAATACCTCCTATTGTTTGAGGCAAGTAATACCCTGTTGCAAGTCATGCAGTACTAATAGCAGTAGAATTTGGTATTTAGAAGGAACTAGGTAGTCATGTGACTCAAAGCAAGCCACCAAAATAAACACTAAGAGAAATAAAACCACTGATTTACAATTTTTTCTAAATAAAATATTCCATGAACTTTGTGGCTAACAAAGCCACAAGTTCATTTATTTCGATTACCAAAATGGAAGAGAAGTATTAAATAAAACAATTTCATCTTGGAAATAAACTAATTTTAATTTTTTTCATTAAAAATAGAAAACAAAATCATTTGTATCTCTCTAGGTGGCCCACAGATTTCTAAATCTGGTTACTGAGTGACAGATAATTAGGGTTCATTATGTTAGCATATGAATTTTCATGCTTTTAAATTTCATGATAAGAGTGCTCAAATGAAAACAATTGTGTATCCCTAAATATTCAAGAAACAATATTTACATATAAAATGAAAGTTAAAATTGTGTCTTCTTGTAATTTTACACTCATTTCCCTAGTATAATTTTACATTTAAAAATCATTAATACTCCAGGTATTTTCTTTATTTATTTACTAAAACTGTATTCAAAAATACATAAATCTCTTAATACCCTAAAGCATCTCTTCTCTCTGCAATGGGTATAGTGGAGTAAGGCAGGTTTTTGTAAAACACTGTGGGATACCAGGATGTATTATTGTTTTAGGAGGTCAGAGAAAAGAAATGACTTTTCAGTTGTTTGTGTTGGGTTTCCTTTTCCTTTCAGAGAAATGGGGAGAATATTAGAGGCAGAGAGCCAGAAAGCAGGAAGCACAGAATGAGCTTCCTTCTCCTCTACCAGGTTCATTTTTAACCTGTCCTTGGACAGAAATGGGCACTTACAGAAATGCCCATGGTTCAGACCAAGCACTGTGATCCTGCTTCATAATGAAGCCCTGAAGTAGCCTGTGCTGAAAGTCATGCCTGATATTTCAATATAATAAAGGGAAAGTAAAATTCTCTTAATTTTCGTTGCATACAGGAAACTACAGGATTCGTTTATTTTTCTTTGGTAGAGTGAACATAGATAAATCAGAACTGCAAAGCATAGTAGGAGCTTTGTGGTGGTTTGGATAATAATGGCCCCCATAGTCTCTTATGTTTGAATGCTTGGTTCCCATTTGGTGGCCTTACTGGGGGAGGTGTCACTTGGGGTAGGTTTTGGGGTTTTGAAAGCCCACACAAGGCCCCGTCTTGTTCCTGGGATGCTGCCTATGGATAAGATGTAAGTTCAGCTGTTGCTCGGCCCTGTGCCCATCTGCCTGCCTGCTGCCATGCTCCCCCCCATGCTGGTTATGGAAACTGTAATCAAAGCCCCAAGTAAATGCTTCCTTTTATAAGTTGCCTTAGTCGTGGTTGTCTCCTCACAGGAATAGAACAGTAATAAAGACAAGCTCTAGTGGAGGGCTACAATGAACTATAAAGTGAACAAATTTAAACTGATGGAATTATGGATTTGGACGTGGGGAAAAGGCCAGGGATTAACCTCGAGACACATACGGTAAGTATAATCTCTGTCACTGAGCTCCGTCCCTAGCACCAGTGATGACTTTCTAAGAATGTATAAAGAAAAAAAAAGTATAAAATATACTCTTGTAAGAAAGTATGTATTGCATGGTGGTAAACACCTTTAATCCCAGCACTTGGGAGGCGGGGCATGCAGATCTGCAAATCAGGTGCCATCTAGGGAGGGCTACATAGTAAGACCCTGTCTCAAAAAAACCAAAAATAAAACAGAAAGTATCATTTTCTTACCCAGATGTGATCTCTGCAATACAGACCTGCCAGTCGGATAAGCACTCTGGTGAAACAGAGGCATGACTGTTCTGGTTGGATCTGAGCCCACTCCATAGGAGGGAATTCATGCCTGGTACAGTAAACCTCATCAAAAGCCCACAGCTGGGGAGGTCCTGGGCTAGGGAACCTACTAGTATCTTCCTTCTAAATGGACAAGTTCTCAAATACAGGACTGCTTAGTGCTGCTCTCAGTCACAGAAGTGTTTTAGTTTTGGTTTTTAAGGATTTATCTTAATTTTACATGTATGTATGTATGTATGTATGTATGTATGTATGTATGTATGTATGTATGTGTACTGTGTGCATGCCTGGTATCCATGGAAGCCAGAAAAGGATGCCAGAAGAGATCCCCTAAAACTGGAGTCATAGTTATGAGCCACAAATGGCACTGAATTTGAGAAGTCTGTCAGAGGAGCAAGTCTTCTTAACTACTGAGCCATCTCTCATGCCCTGGAGTTCTTTCTGCAAATGGACAGTACTTAATGCAGAAGCATATGGCCAGTCCTAGCACTGAGATAAGTGACTGTTGAGTGTTCAACCTGAAACAGGATACCTATATCATACTGCCAACCCCATCCCAAGGCTCAGAATGTAAGAACTGGAGAGCGGGGAGGAGTGCTATCTTCTAGACATGCAGGAACTCTCAGCAGCTATGGTCACTCAAGTCCTGCACAAGAACAAGTCAGTATTCCAGCACACAAAAGAGGAAGGCTCATGAGGACCTAACCCTAAGTGAAGAGCTACTGGCAGTTAATGACTGCTGGGTGCCATTTTCCCCCCATGGTGCCCATGATACAGAAAGTAACCCCACACCAATGCTCATGTAAACAGTCCTAATTAAACTCGGGAAAGTAAGGGGCTTGTTAGGAAGAAGGGGTTTAGAGGGAAGGGGTCAAAGAAGATAAGGAAGTGAACATGATTAAAGTGCATTACATACACGGGGGAAACTGTCAGAAAAACAAGTAAACTTTTTTTTAAAATGTACTGGGAAGACTGCCCAGCAGGTAGTTCTTACCACATAGCATGGAGACCAGAGCTCTCATCCCCAAAACAGCACATGTAAGTCAGATACGCATGGCAGCTAACCTTTAATCCCTGAATAGAAGATGGAGGTGGTATTCCCCCAGCAAACAGGATCTGGGGTCAGCAAGAGACCACGCCTCAATATAATGTGAGAGATTGAAGAGGCCATCTGACACCAACATGCACACGCACACAGACACACAGACACACACACGCCTGCACATACACAGGCATGTGTGCTGATACATGTAAACATTCATACATGCACACAAGACACACACAGCACCTGCACAGACAAAAAGTTAAAAGGATAAAAATGTAAATATAAATTCTCTGACTTTCCAAGAAAATCTGACTACTCTGGGGAGTTCTATAGAAGCTTAGGTGTAAACAGTAAAAGACACAAATGCACTTAGCACATGGCCATGGCATGAGATACGCTTCTGCTGCATTTACGTCCCATAAGCACCTGCTTTATTCGTTTCCTTTCTTCCTCCTGGTCGTATTCTTCTTTTGATTTTCTGAAATATAAAAAAAGTTAAAAAGTAAGTTTGTTTTGTTGAAACAGGGTCTCCCTATGGGTGTCCTAGAATGCCCTATATATACATACAGATCAATCTACCCTTGAACTCAAACTGATCCACCTGCATCTGCTGTCCAAATACGGGGATTAAAGGTGTACACCCCAACTGGCTGGCTAAAAAGTAAATTTTCTTCATCATCAAAGAATAACATGTTAACCTGACATTATATTATAGGCAGAGATAGAGAACAGCCATCTGTACAACCCTGCTGTACAGTCACCTGCAACAGACAGCAAAATATCAATGGACTGTACAATTTACCTTATGAATTCTAGCTGAACAATGACCAACAGATTTGAAATCCTGAACCCTTGTTCTTATGTATAAATGGATAGTCTAAACCCACATTTTAATGGCATTAAAGTCCTAATTTCCATTAGGAAAGACTCACTCTGGCCAGAAGCAGTAGGGACATGCCATAAATCCCAGTACTTGGGAGGCAGAGGCAGAAGTTCCTGGAACTTTAAGGTCATCCTCTATAGCTATAGTGAGTTCAAGGTCAGCCTGATCTGTAGTCAGTCAATGCAACCAGTCAAAACTTAACCAGTCCTCTAGACAAATACCCTTCCCTTTGCACATCTCGAAATTCAAGCTCCCATCTGCCCCTGCCACAGGGCAAGATCTGACGGGTTATATCCCCCAAACCACTCACATTCCCTAAAATTAAGCACTGAGCCTTGGAACTGTCATGGGTTCCCACTAGGTGAATCTTTCTGACTACGGGCATCCTCTTCCTCTAAGCCATGCACATTCTCACAGATTTTAAAAGTACATGCTACTATGATTCTCTCCTTCCAAAATCCCACAGTGACTACAAGGGGAAATTATGCTCACTAGCCTTTCTTGGTTAGAGTGTGGTACAGCCCATGCCAAACATCTGCTTGAGATGAAGTCCTTATCTGAGCTCAACCCTTGGACTCACTCCTCAGCAGCTGGGGCAGGTAGGTCGGATGCCCAGCCTCCTGCTTGGCAACACCAGCATGAGTGGTCTTTAATACTAGAAACAGCAGACAAGGAGAGCTCTGCTCTGCTCTCTCCTCTCTCTGCTCTCTCTGCTCTTGCCTCTCTCTGCTCCCCTCTCTGCTCTCTCTGCTCTCTCTCTCTGCTCTCTCTCTCTCTGCTCTGATCTCTCTCTGATCTCTCTCTCTCTCTCTCTCTCTCTCTCTCTCTCTCTCTCTCTCTCCTCTCTCCTCTCTGCTCTCTGCTCTCTGCTCTCTGCTCTGCTCAGGTCACACTCTACCCTTGCCCATCAATCATGGACTCAGAGTTTTTTCCCATTGGTGGCTAGTCCCTTAATCCTATGATAAAGGATATGTGGAGGTGAGGACAGGGCAATCCTCTCCATCACACTGATCCAGTTTAAGTGATAGGAAAGTATTTTTCTCTCAAATATAATACAAATTGGACATCAAACATGAAAATCTAAACTGTTCTAAAATATGAAAACTTTGGTATATCAGCAGAATGTTCAAAAGGTTTCAAATTTTTTAATGTTTGGATTCCAGATTTTCTGGTTAGGGTTACTCATCTGTGATCTGTGCAAGTATTCCAAAATCTAAAACATTTAGTCCTAAGCATTTGGATAAGAGTCACTCAAGTCACTGTGTATACATGGCAAAAAAAAAAAAATCATTTTGTTGGTAGTATTTTCTAGGGAAAAGTTCATATACATTCAGATCAGATATAGCACTACTAACAAGTCATCGGAAAAGAGTTGAAAAATGCATACCTGAGGACCTCTCTTAGAATTTTCATTTCTTCCTGTTCGAGGTCACTGACCACATCTGCACCATCAGTTAAGCAGTCAGGTAACACACCTGTTCAAAACCAAACACCTCATGGAAGACCATCAACTCAACTGAAAACACTCTCTTCACACTGTTATGATCCATTGGTACAAATTAGTTTACAATGTAATATTTCTTAAAAATTCCAAGCCTTATCTTTTTAATTATCTTCTGTTTAACTTTCTCATATTTTAGGGACTATAAGCCCAACAAAAATCAGTCTTGATTTCAGCTAGAACAATCTCTCAGTAATAACTTGTATTTACTATCTAAAATAGCAATGATGTGGCTTAGCGGTTGAGTCCTTAAATAAGCATGCATGGGCTCAGTTCCCAAGACCAAAAAAAAAGTATTCTTTCACCTCTATATCATGGAGGCACTCACAGTTTCTTTATCTAGCAACCGTTTTTTTCTATCTCTCACACACAATTAATTAATTTAAAAAAATTCTAACTTGAAAAACTGTGTGGCAATAAAAATAATAGACATTATGGTCTTCCACTGTCACACTGCATCTAAGGCTATCCTACTGATAGCACTTAGCCAGGGTTACCAGTGTGCTGGTAAAGGTGAGCCTTAGGTGAGAAGAGGTTACAAAACCAAACGGTGCTTTGTTAGAGGGCACCTGAACTATGTTAGTGAAAAGGCCCTGCTTACTCTGTGCAATGACAGCATGTTCTAAACTTGTGCTCAACATAAAGATCAATAATTCTATCTCTGCCCTTGAAGCACATTCAGTACTGGCAATAGCCTTAAATCACAATTGTGCCAACCTCCACCCCACATTCCCCTCACCCCTGTAAACACAAATTCAGAGGAAGTAATTTTATGTTAATTGTTGGCTTAACTGACTTCTACATCCCTGATGAGGCAGGCTGAGTGTCCGTCTCTATGTTCTACAGCACGAGCAGAGTGCACCATTATTTTACCTTCCATTTCTTTATGCAAATGCATATGCACTGGAATTCTAGATTGCCTCTAAAGTGGTTTTATCATGGCAATTCCCTTGATGTTCTCGAGCATTTTGGGCTAAACATTGTACTGAGTTAATAGCAATCATTTCTAAAGAAGGAGTATAAAATCATTCTCCTCCTAGCAACCTTTCTATGGAGAATTCAAAGCAGTGAGGAACAACACAACTGTAGGAAAGAAATCGTTTAAACCATCAAAATTCATTTTCTCTAAATCATTTGAGAACAAAAAATCCAGAAAGCCTTTGAATTTTCCTTACAAAAAAATAAAATTTCCAAACATCCTGTTTTTAATACAATCAACACTGATCTATTACTCAGCCCTCTATGCAAATGTTAGTTTAAATTTAGACATAAGGCAAACTGCCCATACTGTGGGCTGACAGCAGTAATTATCCCACATCATCCATCCCTTCTCCAATAAAGCCAGATTCTATGCAATCATCAGGTGGCCATCACTGAGAGAAAAAGCCTTCTCTCAGAAAAGTGGCACTTGATTAAGTTAAGCTGTCACAATGGTCTCATCCCCTTCCAGTTTAAGGCACATGACCCGATGCTGAGCAACGGGGCCTGAGCAAAGACTCTTGGAGGGCTCACATGAAATGTTATCTTTCTTACAAAGAAATTCACACAGGAAACTCCTTTCCTCACAAAACACTGAGTTTGCATTGGAAGCAAAAGAAAAGAGGCTGGGAAGGTCAGGGTATAAATATGGCAAGAGTCAGAGGCCTTGAAAACCTCACTGAGCACTAGAGTGATCAATTCTGGACTTGTCTTCCTCATTTGGACTTCATCTGAGAGACTGCTTGATAGCTTTATAACAACTTGACACAGGCTAAAGTTAATGGAGAGAAGGGAACCTCAGTCGAGAAAATGCCTCCATAAGATCTGGCTGTAGGACATTCTTAATTAGTGATTGATAGAGTAGGTCCAAGGCCATGGTGGGTGGTGCCATCCCTGGGTTCTATGAGAAAGCAGGCTGAGTCAGCCATGAAGAGCAAGCCAGTATTCCCTCCATGACCTCTGCATCAGCCCCTGCCTCCAGGTTCCTGCCTGTGTGAGTTCCTGTCCTGACTTCCCTTGATGATGAACAGTATTCTGGAAGTATACGCTGAACAAACCCTTTCCTCCTCAACTTGCTTTGTTCATGTGTTTCATTAGAGCAATAATAACTAACTAACAAGACAGAGACTGCTGTCTAACTGCCGACACCGTTTTCACTGAAGCGCATTATCTTTGGCAATCTGAAGCACACAGCTAATACAACTGCAGAAGTTCTCGTCATATAAAAATCAAGTTTCCTTAAATGCCAAACTGTAAAACTACAGTCCACTGGTCAAGTCTACTGTTTCTTTTATTAAACATTGTCCTCTCAAAACAAGCCTTACAAATGTAAAGCAGTTATCCCACAGAGCAAATTAAAGCATAGTTTTTTGAGTACTAAGAGAAGACTTCACAAAACAAAGAATGGAACAAAAAAAAATGGTTTACTTCAAAGTAATCACACTGTATTAGACTCTTCAGGGTCAGGGTGGTCTCTTAACAACAGACAACAGCTCTAGGACCCACTGTGAAAAGGAGCTTAACTCTAACGCACAGCTGGCTCCAAAGGGTAAGGCTCTACTCACATGGCCAAAAATCGACATTCTGATGTTTATCTCAGCCACAGAATCCCTGTTTGTTGGGGCTGGTGAAATGGCTCATGACCTAAGTTTTATTCCTAGGACTCATTCCTGGAAGCTGTCCTCTGAGCAGTACATGTGCACATGGCACAGATGTTCCTCCCCCAAAATAAAAACACGCCCCATATTGCACATTCCATGTCCTTAAGAGCAAACTGCACAACTAAATATAGCTCCCATACTTTCATGAAACCATCAAAGAAACAATCTTGCTGCCAGACTAGTAAAGTGCTGGCCCCTGCTGTAGCCAAGATCAACAGCTCCAGTAACACCTGGAAACCTGTTAAAGATACAGATGACCAGGTCCCATTCCAGACCCATGACGGATGACCCACTGCTTACTGACACCGGAGAACCATTTCCTCCTAAGGTCCTAATAGTGCTCATAACAGCCACTCAAAACATTAAACTTAACTAACACAATGGCTGGGCAGAAAAGCACAAAACTAAAGCATCTGTAAATCAAATTGTCTTCATTCTTTGAGATGCCACATGCTAAATTAGGAAATTTATTTTCTTAAATCTTTTACAAAGACTTTCATATTTAAAATAAATACATAAAAGGTAGCTAACTATGTTTAAGACTGTTAGAATAAATAAAAAAATCAAACTTCAAAAACAAATTCAGTTAGTACTTAGATTCCAGTGTTTTACCATTCCTCTCCTGGATGATTCGGATGGCCTGAAGCTGCATTTCAATGTTCTTCTGGACCATCATTGCTTTAAAGATAGTAAAATCTTCTGCTGCCAACACAGGCTGCAAAATGGCCTGTGGGAGGAAGTCTGGATGTTAAATGAAGATTTAAGTTTGGAAACTATTTAACCCACATTGAAATCATCATTTCCACTGAAAAGCAGCAAACTAATTCATGAATGTTATATCATTATTATGGTTAGGTGACTCAAGTAGACAAACAATAGGGTTTCATTATGTAGTCCTGGTTGGCCTCAAACTCCTAATTCTCCTGCCTTGGCATCCCAAGTGTTGGGATCACAGGATATACAGCTATATACTCTGCTAAGATTTTTTTTTTAAGCCTTTAAAATAGGGTTCTCTGGAGCTACCTCATTCAACCTGCAAGCCTCCAAGAGTCAGATAGGCAGACGCCTTCTCCGAACAAGCTAGTGTTAAATGGAAAACACAACCTGGCTTACATTTCTATTTCTAACGTTATCAGCTCAGTATTTGAGTTTGGTTTTTACCCCAAATATTTGGTTTATATCCTATCTCCTGAAATTTACTTTGGGTTTAATTCAAGGAAATGAATAAAAAATGAAGCCTTATAAGCAAATTATATATTAATTAGAGATTATATTAGATTGGATTAGGAATTATGAAAAGTCAAAACTGAAAAGTATAATAAATGAAGAATAAAACTGAGGCTGGAGCAATGGCTCAATTATTCAGAGCACTGCCCTCACAGAGGACCCAGGTTCACTTCCCAGCACTCACATGGTGGCTCGAAATATCTGTAACCCCAATCAGACATACATACAGGCAAAACACCCTTACGTGTAAAATAAAAATAAATAAATCTTTAAAAAAAAGTATCTATCATTAGATTACATATATTAAATATTTCCTTAACTATTAGTAATATTACATATTGCCAAGAACAAAAAAATTCCCAAGCTAATTAATAAGCAAAGTAAGATTTGAGATGCATGAAAACGCCGCCCAAAGGAAGCATGTCTTGTCTTAGCAGAATTTAATTTTCAGCTCTACCTGAGATGAATGGAAAAGTTGACCACACTAAACCATCCAGAGATAACCAAGAGTATACTGTTTACCAGAAGGCAAAGGCAATGTTCTCACAAAAAACACCAGACCAGACACTTCACCAAAGAATTCCACTTGAAACAGATGAGCCCTTCCTCCAGCAACCAGCTCAACACATTCTAGATGTGCCGTGTAACAAAGGTAAGAGCAAGTGACATCTCCAAGGAGTACGCTATGAAGAGGAAAATACAATGCTCCCTTAAATTCTGCTTGGTTTTCAGGAATCTCAAGGCAGGGGGTGGCAAAGATGAGCTGAAAGTGCTAAAACCAGTATGGGAAGCTTCTGTCTGAATCCCCTTTTGGGGGTTGGGCTTCCTGGCCTATTACTAACACCAAGTACTTTATCCAACTTTTAAAATGGCATTGCAATTCCATCTAATTTTTGGCCTTTCGAGACAGGGTCTCACTTTGTAGCCTAGGTTGATCTCAAACTCAATTATAATTTGCTTCCTGAGAAAAAGTATTGGGATTACAGGTCTGAGCCACCACACCCAACTATTGGGCACTGCTAGCAATTGATAGCAATGTGACAAATTTTCTAGCAGGTAGCTAGAGATTGAACTTGTAATTATGACCTTTGGCACTACTTAATAAGTCCAAGTAAAATGACTGGTTTTTTTTGTTTTTTTGTTTTGTTTTGTTTTGTTTTTTGAGACAGGGTTTCTCTGTGTAGTCCTGGCTGTCCTGGAACTCACTCTGTAGACCAGGCCGGCCTTGAACTCAGAAATCCGCCTGTCTCTGCCTCCCAAGTGCTGGGATTAAAGGCATGCACCACCACTGCCTGGCCAAAAAATGACTGTTGTTAAAGCATTCCTGAGCTCTGTTTCAGACAATAAAAACTGATCTTTACAGGATGAGTGTCCACATATCTCCACACATTAATTCTTAAAACATTAAAGTTTCAGAAACACTGGCAAATTAGAGAAGGAAAAGAGTCTTGATATCAAAATCCAATGTAACTATAAGCACTAGTGGCTCTGTGACCCTGGATATTATTTAATCCTTAGCATGAATAAAAATAACATAGCATTTATACAGTGTTTCATGGTTTCTAAGATTCTGAAAAGTAACAAAAATAGTACAATATTTTGTGTGTCACTTAGAAAAAAATGCCAATTAAATAACACCTTTAATTATACAAAACAGTCTCATTTTAAATATATTATGACATAAAAATGTGTCTCTGGGGTCTAGAGAGATGGCTCCACAGTTAAGAGTACCCAGATTCAATTCCAAGCACCCATACTATGGCTAACAACCATCTGAGTCCAGTTCCAGTCCATCCAATGCCCTCTTCTAGCCTCTGCAAGTACTGAACACATGGTACACACATATACATAAAACCTTTTTTAAAAGTTTTACCCTGAATAAAACAAATATATAACAATTGTTTCACAAAGTATTAAATGAATTGAGTAACATTTTATAATCTGGGAAGTAAGCATAAAAGTAATTGTTCTGGTCTTTTTTAAAGCTTTATTTTTATTATTTGTAGTATGTGTCTGTGAATGTGAGTACAGGTATCCCTAGAAGCTAGAAAAGTGAGAGGCCCCGGAGCTGGAATTACAGTTGTTGTAAGCCACCTAATGTGAATGCTGGGAATGGAATTCAGGTCCTCTAGAAGAGCTCTCTGCTGAGCCAGTGTTCTGATCTTTAAATGCTTGTTGAAATTGACAGACTGCTGACCCAGCTAAGAAAAAGCCAATCTGGGCTACACAGTGAATTTGAGGCCAGCCTAGACTACTCAAGACTCTATCTCAAGAAAACAAAAGAAAAATAAAAACCTCAGCAAACACCATACTTAAGAATTCCCAGTGTGATCAAATATTAAAAAATGTAAGAAGGTCTATCTATCACTGTTGAACTGTAAACATTAAAAAAAAATGAAGAAATATATAAATAACTTTGTGCCCAAACTTGATGACCAGTTTGCCAAACTAACACTATGATAATAAGATGATTCGAATAGATAAAGCTATTCATTGTCTACTTAAAAGGTTAATCAGCCAGACAGTAGTGGCACATGCCTTTAATCCCGTGAGTTCAAGGCCAGCCTGGTTTACAGAGTAAGTTCCAGAACAGCCAGGGCTACACAAAGAAACCCTATCTTGAAAAACCAAAATGTAGAAAGAAAAAGAAAGGAGGAAGAAGAGGAGGAGGAGGAGGAGGAGGAGGAGGAAGAGGAAGAGGAGGAGGAGGAAGAGGAGGAGGAGGAGGAGGAGGAAGGGGAGAAGCAAGAAAAAATTATTGGTAACTGTACAAAACAGAAAAGTCAAAATGAGTGTAAAAACAAATTCCAACAGAGAGAATACATATTAACTCATTTCCTGAGGCCAATAGTACCCTAATCCCAAAATCAAAGACTTTACAAGAAAGGAAAACTAAAGGTCAGAGATGGAAAAAATGCCCAGAAGAATTTTTGCAAACTAAATTCAACAATGTATAAAAGAATTACATAGCATAATAACCTGGGATTCTTTTCTAATTATTCAAAGTAGATCAACATTTGAAAATAACTCACTATATCAGAGATTAACAGACTGGAGACTGCCATTGACCCTACCAACAAACATAGAAAAGAGCTTCTGTGGTTGGTGAGATGGCTCAGAGGCTGCTCTTCCAGAGGTCCTGAGTTCAATTTTCAGCAACCACCTAGTCAGACCATCTATAAAGGGATCTGATGCCCCCTTCTGGCAAGTAGGTATACATGTGGACACAGCATTCCTACATTTAAAATAAATGAGTAAATAATAATAAAAAAAGAGCTTCTGATAAAATCTGACAACCATTCATGTATTTAAGACATGGCAAAACCCTCTCAGCAAATGAGAATAGGCAGACATTTCCTCACCCTTGTAATGATCATCTGTTTTCAAGATTTATTTAAAAAAAAAAGTATGAGTGTAAGTTCATGCACATTATATGCATCAGGTGCCTGTGGAGACCAGAAGAAGCTGGCTCATACCCCTAGAACTGGAGGTATAGACAGCTATGAGCCACTCTATGTGAGTGACGGGAACCAAACCTGGGGCCTCTGCAACAAGAATAAGTGCTCTGAACAGCTGAGCCATCTCTTCAGGACCTGAGACAGCTGAACAGTTTGGTGGTGAATGCTTGTAACCCCAACTCTTGGCATGTACAGGCAAGACCATAAGGAGGTCAAGACAAGTCTGGGCTACATAGTGGGTCTAAGGCCAAACTACGCTAATCAAGATCCTACCTCAAGGGTGAAAAAAGATGAATAAAAACCACAGCTAACATCATACATAAGAAACCAGAATCTTTCCCACTCAGATCAGAAATAAGGCAAAGATGACCTACTCACAATTACCATTTAACACTGTAAGTCCTGGCTAATGAAATAAGTTTGGTTTTCAGTTTGGATTTTGGTTTTAACCACTTGGAAAGGAAGAAGTAAAATTCTTTTTGTTTGGGGCTGGAGAGATGGCTCTGCAGTAAAGAGCACTTACTGCTCTTCCAGAGAACCCACATTCAGTTCCCAGCACCCATCTATAACATCTGCAAACATGTATAATTCCAGCTCTAGGAGCTCTGACACCTCAGACTCTGCTACAGGAATAGATGCTCTTAACAGCTGAGCCATCTCTACAGGATCTCAGACAGCTAAATCGTTTAGTGGTGAATGTGCACAGACCTCATTCAGACGCATGCCTACACATAGTTAAAAATAATCAAATCAAACATTTACTGCTGGTAAATCATTTAAAAATTACCTTAAAGCAATTCTTTGACTGGGGGGTAGCTCAGTTGGTAGGGTGCTTAACTAGCATGTAAAAAGCCCTGGGTTTGGTCCCTAGCACTGTGTAAACCCACATGTGATAGTCTCCAATCTCAGCACTTGGGAGGTGGAAGCAAGGGGATCAAGTTCAAGGTAATTTTCAGCTACACAGTGAACTGGAGACTAGCCTGGGATACATGAGACCTTATTTCCAAAGATGGAAACATTCAGGGGCCTAGAAAGACAGCTC